CCTTCGGCCCCCTTTCTGGTAAATTAGTTTAGATTTTCTGATTCGCTGGATGTTTCCTGTTTATTTATGATTGTGTTTGTAGAATTCGTGAATTTATTTTTAACAACAATTCTAACTGTGTCTATGGATCTTACGCGAAAACTAATTCGTATAAGCAAAGACAAGAAAAGTGTATTGCATTTATGGAAAAACTACTAAGGCTTTATGCCATCGTCCGTAATTTTGAACTAATGAGCAGAGAAAAGGCAAACCACTGTACAGCACCCACACCAACCACCTTACAGAATAAGGAATTGACTGTCACTCTTGTAACGTGCCCATAGTTTTGAGCTACAGGAATATTTTGTGGTATCTCACGGATTCGAACTCAGCTCGCCTGCGCCACCTCTCCCCCTACACACACACACACCAAAAAAAAAGGAAGAAAACAAAAGAGAGAAATAACTTTTATACGGTTAGAGTAAATATTTTGTAGTATAAGTTGCATTGCTAGATAGGTCCACTCATTGTTGAACTCACTTCTATACGGTTAGAGTAAAGATTTTGTACTATACGTTGCTATTGCTAGATAGGTACACTCATTGTTGAAATCACATCTATAAGGTTAGAGTAAAGATTTTGTACTATACGTTGCTTTACTAAATAGGTCCACTCATTGTTGAAATCACATCTATAAGGTTAGAGTAAAGATTTTGTACTATACGTTGTTTTACTAAATAGGTCCACTCATTGTTGAAATCACTTCTATACGGTTAGAGTAAAGATTTTATACTATACGTTGCTTTACTAAATAGGTCCACTCATTGTTGAAATCACTTCTATACGGTTAGAGTAAAGATTTTTGTATTATACGTTGCTTTACTAAATAGGTCCACTCATTGTTGAAATCACATCTATACGGTTAGAGTAAAGATTTTGTACTATACGTTGCTTTACTAAATAGGTCCACTCATTGTTGAAATCACTTCTATACGAGAGCCCTAACCACTGGTTGGACTACCTACAGCTAAGCAAGTGTCCTACGAAGAATTACGTAACTGAAGAAAATTTCCATGTGTCACATTTATCCAAATAAATGTCTTATGGGAATATACGTTGATGTGGAAGTTTTTGACGTAGTTTACATTTAGTTAGAGAAATGTTCAATGAGAAGAAACATGGATTAACAAAATAAAACTTCTTACGTGAGCTACGATCGGCGAAAGACAAAAGACTGTTTGACGCGAGTTACCTTTAGTCAGAGAAAAGTGTTTCACGTGAGCTAACTTCAGCCAAAAAACACAACAAAAAAAGGGATTTCACCTGAGTTACTTTTAGCTATGAAAACTGTTCCTGTGAGCTATCTTTAGGCAATGAAAAGTTTCACGTGAACTACCTTTAGCCAATGAAAAGTGTTTAATTTCACTTAAGTTGCCTTTA